TCTCATATATCAGTACCAGTTATGGTCCATATAACTGTCATTGTTTCAGTAACCTGCAAATTTGTTGCTGTAATGAAGCTTCCTGATAAACAAAGTTATTTTTCTTTATTAAGTCAGTGGTTGGATCTGCAGCTGAACAGAAAGGCTTATTGTGTAAAGATCTGAGGTTATATGTAACATATTTTGAAATGCTGTATATGGGCAGGAGAATATAGTCATGGTTACAGCAATGGGCAGGAAATCACAGTTTTGAGTCTTGGCTGTGCCACAGACTTTCTGTGTGACTTTGGACAAGCTACTCTTTGTGCATTAGCTAATAATACTATCTCTATCTCCCAGGGGTGTTGTGAGAATACATTCATTAATGTTTGTAAGGCGCTTGGATGCTATAGCGAAGGGGCCATATAAGCACTTAGAGAAACAATCCATTTTTGCAACAATGTGCATCTCCCTGACTAAGGACTTTTTTGCTGGAAGTTTTTCATAGATGCTTGTTATGAATAAATCTACTTTATAATGAGACAGTGAGGTTAAACTGCCTTTTGGAGTGCAGTTTCACTTTAGTATTCAGAACAGGTGTAAACAGTCATAAGTTTGAAAGCCATTCCCAAAGAAAGAGAATACCATTTCATAGTCAGACATTTGAATTGGAAAGCTACCTCTCCTGATTTACCTAGTTCAAAACATGGAGGATTATTTACATCTGTATCTGTCTCACAAATAGTTTATTCTATTTCAAGCACTTCTCATTACATTGTCTAAACTACCTCCTCAGGCAAGTCATTTCATTGCCTAATTGGCTTTAAAGTTAAACAGTTTACTCAAATGTCTACCCTGCTTTTTGCTTGTGGATATAGGCTGCTCTTTTAGTCTGTCCTTTCTGGAATAACCTTCACTCACATGTGTTTGATTCAGACACTGCACAGTTACAGCAGGTTAAAAAGGTAGTGCTTTAGTGCTGATGTGAGGTAAATTGGTAAGCCACTCTAACTTGATTTGATAATCTGCCTGGCTGAGTGCTGGTCAGTGTTAAAATCTGAATATGGGGTTCAGCATATTAGCACCACGGAACAGAAAAAGAGTATTCAGAATTTTCAAGGCTTTTGTGGAGGACTTGGTGAGAGATTTCCAACCTAGGGGAAAAGGTTCTGCAAAGACTTCATAAAAGATTTTGTTTTAACCTGTTGTTTTTTTTTTCATTTGTAGAAACTAGTGGTAACAGACAAACTGTGCAAGTAAGAGATCTGGAATAATGTGAGCAGTCAGTGAGAACAATGAAGAGGGCTATGCAGCGTTTGAGGCTCAGAAAACAAGTTATCTGTAGTGCTTTCATGAAAAGCTTTCTAATTTGAGGGCTGAGTTCAACCAAAATATTTATGAAAGCAAGAGATCATTAGAAGATAGAGACCTTATATTTGTCCCAATGATGGGAACAAACACTATGTCCTTTCCTACTGTATTAAATGTAGAGAATTTATATGGTCTTAAAAAATGTCCAACTGTAGGAAATCAGTGAATTGCAGTCAAATTACAAGATGCAAACATACAGAACAGGCCTTATTTGGATCATGAGATTGCTTGCTTACCATGAAATCCATCCACTACTGTTGTTTGAATATGTACTGAATAGAATTGCTTTTAATAACATTCCCATATGAGTGATAGTGTAAATGCTTCTCAAGATGACTGTTAGTTTAAGCTGTGGTTAAGACTTCCCTCACAATGCAGGAGAAGAAAGCTTTTTAATTATTTTTGTTGTGTTTTTTTTTTTTCCCTTCTCTCTGTGAGCATTGGGGATTGATTTGGGTTGATATCCTCTATTATACACATACATAACATATACTACTCTGGACAGAAGAACTAAAAATGAAAGAAGTAAACTATACTATTGCAGTGTGGTAAAAACTTATTACAAAAGGACCCACAAACATCAACTCTCAATCTTGTTGAATGCACAACCGTCAGGCTGCTCCCAACTTTATGGATTGTTGTTTTCTGGATTTAGCTAAAGATACTCAGTACAGCCACCTTTTCTTTCAGTTTGTCAGTAAATGCAGGACCCGTTTTAGGGGACTCTTAATCAGAATTCCAAATTTTGTAATATTACTTGATACAGGATTGAATAAAAGTATTAATGAATTCAAGGAGAGGAAACTTCCTTTCACAGTTGTTTGTGAACCAGTATTTGGCTCAGTTGTTGTATACCCTAACATGTCTTTTGAATTTTTAGTTTATTCATGTTTATGTTTCTTGAGCATTATTTTAGTAAAATCCTATGTTACCAAAATTTCCTGTATAAATGCATTTTTATAGTGCGGCAACACTAAAATCTTTACCAAAACGAGAAAAAATATAACTCAAAGGGTTACTTTTATCTTCTTAAAAATTAGGAAATTTTTATATCTTGTGTCAAACTAATCCTCTTTGAGACAGTGTATGCATCACAAAAAAATAATTGGGATGATAAAGACTACTATAGTCTAAAAAAATAGATACCTGTTTACAAAATTTAGTTCTGACAGTCAGCCTATTAAAAAAACATTATCACTGCGAACAGTGGAAAATTCAAACTTCTGTTAAAGAATTTCTGTCTTGTGTCTGTCAAAAAGAATATTACACATCTTCAACAGTATACTTAGCAAAAGAAAATAAAACAAACATACTGAAGCTCTTACAGTTGCATTACTTTGTTTTTGTCACTGCCCTCTCAAGAATGTTTCTGTGTATAAGAATCAGTGGGGTACATAATCTAGAAAGAGTTAAGCCTTTTTCTTATGGCAAAGTAAATTGCAGCTGTTTCTCACAATAGGAGGTCATTGGTCATATACTGATTCTATCTATTTTGATAAGACTACATTTTGATAAATATCTTACCTATGGCATGTCTGTAGGATTGATACCACTTGCATGTGTTTACTTCAGCAAAATATCTTCTCCCTTGCTGATCCCTCAGGTGATACTTAATACACAATTAGATGTTATCTTGCTCATACTAGTTGATGTTTCAGTTTACTACATAAAAGTACACACCTGCTTCTCATATACCTCCCTTATATTATTCTGAAGTGATTATGAAAACAAAATATTTTAAAACCTAGTGGTTCTTAATGGAAGAAAATAAAAATCTGTTACATGTAGGCAAAGAAAAAACAACACAAAATGTGGTCTTCATTCAAAATAAATCTAAGATCTCCTTTTTAACCATAAGAATTATTCCAGTAAGTATACTGCTTTTTGCTAGACCCTCATTTTTAGAAGTAATCATCATGTGTTTTGGGGATTTGATTTGTTCTGATTTTATAGAATTCCATTGGTTTTCTGTGAAAAAAAGAGATTTTCTTTCTGTCCCTCTGTCTTCATAAAGTTAAAAAAAATCCAAAAAGCAAGCTGTATCGGGATCCAATATTTTGTGGCATTAGACTTGAAGTTCTTATTTAACACGGTTTTACTAGGAAGGCTATAACTAGGTAAGTGCTGTGTACTGTACTAGAACTTCTTTGTAGGAAAGATAGGAATACTTAACCTCTTTCCAAAAGAAGAGCAGAGAGTGGGGAGAGAGACTGTTTTACCACATTTCATTTACATCAGATGCAAGTGGATGTGTTTGGTTAACTTTGCATCTGAAATGATGCAAAAAAACTCTTCTAAAAATCAGTGAGAGTCAATTTTATGAGTTCTCAGCATCCTAAAGTAGCTGTTAGATACAGTAGGATGACTGTAAGGGGAAACACTGAAGTCTTCAGTTCTAAATCTTCAGGTGTGCACACTGTTAGACCCACTGATGTTATATAGTTTGTTCTGTGTTCGTTTCCTTTTGCATTTTCAGACATGATTTCAATTGAATCATTTATGGTTCTTCCATTCAGATTTTAACAGCTATTTTGGAGCGGATAACCCTCAATGGCTGTATATGAGACATTGCCCGGGGTGCTTCCAAGATGCTTTTGAGCTGGGTAAGGAAATCACTGAGTGTTGACACATTCTCAAAGCACTGTGGCATGGATTGAGAGCATATGGTTTATAAACTGTGTTACTGACCTATTATTCAGTACTTAACTGACAGAATAGACTATACCAGTTTCCTCTGAAATGCTAAACAAAACTAAATAAACTTTTTTTTTGTAAAATAGAAAAGGTAAAAGTATTTTAAAAAAACTAAATACAGTATATAATCTGTATATGGTAATTCATACCATAAAACTTCAAATCATCATTACCCACTTCTGATATGTCTACTTCTACCATAGTAGCCATTCAATGTATAATATCACACTAATCTAATGTCACGTTAGCACTGTATTAGTACACCAGTGAGGTAAATCATACTCAGATTTTTACCGTGACTTTCATGTCAAAGCTATATTTCTATTTTGAAACGATGTAAGCATGCAGAAAAATGGTTCCTATTAGAACAGCATAATTTAAAACAAAACCAAAGAGGTTGCTTCCCTCTTAAAATAACCTTTTCAGAAAAAGTTTTGTGAAAAGTGCTATGTGGCAGCTGCTTCATTAACTGTAGTAAGTTATAGGCATCCTGAGATATCTGGTAAATAGAAGTAATAAGCTTCCTACAAAAACAAACAGACAAGCAAATAATGAATAGGTTGTGCATGCAAGAGAAGGTTCTATTAATCTGAAGCTCCTGCCATTATCACACACAGGTGTACATAGATGGGGCTCCAGTGTGTTAATTCCACAGGGTCCAGTAATAAATCTCAGATTAAGTTTCAATAATCCATTTTCATCCTATAAAAGAAATTGTCTTATACATTTAGTATTAACTGGCCATATTTAATAATAGCTAGAGATTTGCTGATATTTTTCTTTTTCTTTACTATCAAGAACTAGTAGACTATATTATACATGAATGGCTTGTACAATGATTGTTTTATATTTCAGAATTACCAAGAAGTTTGTGTTCTCAGAGTAAAGACTGTAAATTTAAAAACCATTACACCTTTACTTATTTCTGAATACACACCCAGAAGAAACTTAATATATAAAATTCTTTGTCTCTTAATGTCAGTCTGATGCAGGTGTAGATCTCCAAAACATGCATTTTCAGGTCAAAAGGAGTGCCATAGTGGTAAACCCATTTTAATTTATACTTAAAATGTAATAGTTGTTAATTTTGTGCATGTAACAATTTTCAACTGTTAATATTTGAGGTTTTGAATAATTTTTTAAAGAATCTGCACTTAACATTTGTCTGAAAAATATTTATTTCCCATCTCCTAGCTTAACAGCAACCAAAGATTACTTCTTCCCTCAATATTATCACCCTGCACGCTCAAATATTACATAGGCAGTTGTTGTCTCTTCCGCATATGTTCAGAACCTGTTCTAACTTACCGTGGAGGTGCCTGGTTTGTTCTGGATATGCTCCACTTTTGCTGCAGCTCCCTTTTCTACATAGTACAGTAAGAATCACTAGTGGAAAGAATTAAAAGTGGCCATTATGGCCTGACAAAAGCTCTTGATCAATTTTTGTGATCTCCAGGTTTTGAGGTGGAAGTCAAAAGCTAAAGAAATATAAAGAAGGTTCTCTGGTTAAACTTCAAGCAGTGGGTCAAAGAGCTTATTGGTCAAGTTGCCTGTGAGTATGAGTTTGTATAGTAGAATTCATTATGGAATTGGGATTTTTTTTTTATTTTTCCCCTTCCAATAATATGAGAGGAATCAACAAACATCACAAATCTATTAGCTTATTAACTTCTCCATACAACACTGCTATTAGCCATTCTATAAGGGTTTGCTGTGATGTGACTCATAGAGTTACTGTGTATTCAGCATGGCTTTCTCTGTGGGTCTCATTCTCAGTTCTGAACTTCCTGAATGTTACAGTATTTTACATGTGTAGTTTTTGGTTAGACCTCCAAGAATTGATGCCAGAAACTACGGATAATAAGTAAATTCCCTGAATTTCATGTGTTTAATCATCCTGGTTATAATACAAATCCTTTTTCTAAAAAAAAGGAGTAAACAACTGTATTTTGAGATGTTTTTTTTAAAAAAAAAAAAAAAAAAAAAAAAAAAAAGGATAAGCCACTCGATTTCACTGTGATTTTTATGAGTAGCCCTATAGTCACTGGAATGCTTGAGCCTTGCACATCAGTCTTAACTGTGAGTTTTAATAGTTTTATGCTCTCTCTGAATTATCATAGAATCACAGAATGGTTTGGGTTGGAAAGGACTTTCAAAGATTATCTAGTCCAAGCTCTGCCATGGGCAGAGACATCTTTCACTAGGTCAGGCTGTTCAAAGTTCCATCCAACCTGGCCTTGAACATTCTGGTATCAAGACAACAATCTTACAACTGGAGGTAGGTAGAAAGGCACTTAAGACATTGTTACAGTATCTCTTTGAGATCGCTAGTTCTCCTTTTGATGTAAATTTCTAACTAATCAGGTCTTTTTAGATGAATGAAGTCATATTTTGAAGACAAGAATAGATGAAGGCCATAGACAAACCAGAAGAAACTGGGAGCAGGAAAGGGTGGGGAGACAGATGCTGCAGTAATACAAGTTATTCATTAAGACGTGTGATTCTTTAAATTAAATTCTGAGTTTCTTTATCCTCTCAAACATAAAACTATCCATAGGCAGTCATATCATATGTAGTCATGTATCACAGAAATTAAATCACATCATTTAGCTGCCTCCTTCTTCAGACATTAAAATATTTCTTCCCGAACAGGTTGTGTGAAAACTTGGTACATCTTGTATATAAAAAAAAAAGTTAAAAAATTCTACCCTGGAAGGCAAGAATGAGTTTCAACACTGCAGATTCTTCACAGAGTATATGCTGCCCGGCTCCTGCCTTACTGGTAGTTCATTCATTACAGCTCATATATTTTCTCATATGCATATTGGCACTATAGTTACTTGGGATCTGTGCTGGTTGCAAATACCATCAGCATAGGAACTGGATTTTTTAAGGCTCTAAATTTTTTAATCCCAGATGCATTGAGGTTTTTCTATGTAGAAAATTCCCCAGGTCATAATGCTGTCATTGTTCTCAGTAGGAAACCTTAATTGCAGAGCTAGTTGGATAAGAGTTGGATTAGCTGGCAGAGTGTTGTCTGGAAAATCTTTCAGCTGTGCAATGTTATCACTTCCCCTACATCCCCCCGCCCCCACCCCTGAGGATTCCTAGCCTACTGCATTTGGTGAGATACATATGTTTTCCCCAGCTACAGGAGCTGTGAAGGGTTCCTCTGGGATATCGAAGTATAAATACCCAAGTGTGTCTTCAGTTGCTAGGTTATTTTTAGTCAATGGGTGGTTACCAAGTCATCTATAATTGTGCTGTTAAATGTGTCAGAGCAGCTACTGCAAATCGAGGTGCTCCCTGTAACAGGTTGAGCATATAAAATAAAATGAAAGAGGACAAAAGCAACATTTTGGAATTGAGCTGTTTCAAGAGTTGAATTATCTAAGGGAGATTGTGGGGTGGACAGATTCGAGGAGGATGATCCATGAGTACAACATGGATAGGGGAACATGGAGCATAGTTTGACTATACTACATGTAGTACCTGTAACTGGCATATTGTGTCATTTCAGATATGTGTTTTGGGAGAATTTCTCAGTGGTTTAAGGAATAAGAGGGGCCTTACAGTTCTTCTTAGGCAGGTCTTATACAGCCTTTGTCTGTGGTGGCCAAAAGCTGTTACCAACTAGTGACTGCTGTGTGGGGAAAAGTGCAATGAGTTCCCAGTGGACAATTGTCTACATGGCACAAACTGCTAGCACAGGTCTTTCTCTATAAATAGAAAAGAGGAAGAAAATCATACCTGAATAGAAAGCCAGTAAGATGGTAGGAAGAAGACATGAACAGCAAAATAATGCAACTGAAAAGCAAAATGAAACAAAGTTACTTTAAAAAGCACCGTAAATCATCAAATGTTCTAAGTAAACATGCACTGTAGCAAGGAAATTAAACATTGGTTATTATAAATTACCTAGGCTATACTACCCTTCTTATGGATCTGCCACTAGGAGCCAGAACAGGAAGCATGGTATGGTCTGTCAAAAAATATCAAAGACATATTAATGTATCACCCAATTTGGTAAGCAAAGGAAAAACAGGTGAAAAATTGAGATGTTCGTGGAAGGATATGGTCAAAAGGATGGGTATTTATGGCTCCTACGGTAGCTGCATCATGTCACAAATCAGAGATTAATAGCATCTCTTTAGATATTAATTTCTACTCCAGTGGCACTTGTCCAGCATCAGCTGAAGATCAGAGATAAAATTTTGAGGACTTCTGTAGTTCTGACTAGCTTAGAAGCAAAGAAATGCCAGCCATTGGTATGCAGAGAACAGAGAGGGGAAAAAAAGACTTAAAGGCTGCAAAAAACTAATTGGTGTAAATACATCCATCTGTATTCATTCCTATATATTCAATATATCATCTATTTTGGTTAGAATCAAAAAGAAAAAGGATTTATAATGCCACTTCATGTATATGTGAAAGATGAACTGGGTGAATTTCAAGAAAATAAAATGTTAATCTTAGCATCAGGAGAAACATTCCAGCTGAGAGAACCACTGGGCTGGAATAACCACTTCAAGTGACAGGTGACAGACTATTGCCTGAGTAATTCAAAAGTAACAAAAATGAAATCCAGTGGGCATTGGCAAAGGTTTGGTCTAGATAACCTAATAATAGCTATTGTCTGCTCTATTTTTTTTTTTCCAAGACAGTAGTAGTTTCCAAATTCATTAATGAAAGTGGTCTAATGTCATATATTGTGCTCCGGCATTTAGATTTGCATTTGCCATGCATAATTTGGGGGTCTATTGCATGAAAGGGAATAAAATAATTATGCAAAAGGCATTTGACACATATGAAAATACTAGGCCTCAGTTATAGGTATATGGAATACAATCTGAACAAGACTGTTTTCCAGGAATTTTAGCATACTTTTATTTATAAAATATCTCAGTAG